AATTTGAATTTTTGTGGTTCCTTTGGGGCACCATGGGGGGGGGGGTCCCTGTTTCGAGAGAAATGAAAATCAATATAGCGTATAATAAGCATGACAGTAAGTTGCATACACTTATCAAATTTCATTAAAATCGGCTTTAGGGTTTAGACTTTAAGTCTGAAACTTTAAAAACAACCAAACTAATGGAAATTCCCATTTAAACATTATATTTATCGGTTATTGATTTTTGAAAAATGACTAATTTTTTTCCCAGACACACCCAGTATCGAGTACAATCTATGTTCCAAATTTGGCGGAAATATGCCTTATAGTTCTCGAGTAGTTTATGAACACACACACACACAGTCAGTTTTATATATATAAAATGAGGTGTATTTAGGCAGCAAAAATTGTTTTAAACATGTTTAGTTGGATAATATTGACAAGTTATGTCTATCCAATTTTTTAAAAGCCTTATCAAATTTACAAATTAGTTTTATATAATCAGTAAATTTACCAGAATTCAAAGTTCAACAAGGTTTTGTATGGACTGAGACGGCACATGATAGCAAACAGAGGAATTGCAGACAATGCAGATCCAATCAACCCAAACAAGGATATGGAGTTTATCTAATATGCCTGATAATTATGAAATTGAATACAGGTCTCAGGAGCCATCTTAGATGCCATGGACACTGAAATGAAACAAAAGCCATCACATGTGATGCCTCATCTGAGTAAGATGTGGCAACCACTATATATATATATATATATATATATATATATATATATATATATATATATAGAATTCTTTTTAGTTTATTGACAGAAATAAATTTTATGCCTACAATTAGTTGCCCTTAACATGTTAGAAATTTAGTTCCCCCCCTCTTCCTGTGAAGGCATTGCTGCTTTTAAACCATAAAATGATTGTTTATTCTCCAGTTAACCACCACCACCTGAAGAAGCACCTGTAGTGATGAAACAGGATTGCATTTATAACGTTTTTGTTATAATTGTTAATATATATGTATGTGTGTGTGTGTATGTATATATGTGTATGTATGTATGTATCTCTAAGTGTAAGGTAGGTTAATTCCAATATCCAAACATTTTAAAAAAGTGCTCAATACAGAGTAGAACTTAATAATAGCTATTAAAAATTATAACAAAAACATGTTAAAAACTGCTACATAAATGCACTCGTTTCAGCAGCGTAGGTGTTTCTTCACCACTGCCTAAAGAAACACCTACGCTGCTGAAACATGATTGCATTTATGTAGCAGTTTATAACATGTTTTTGTTATAATTTTTAATAGCTATTATTAAGTTCTACTCTGTTTTGAGCACTTTTTTAAAATGTTTGGATATTGGAATTAACTTACACTTCGAGATAAGATAGAGATTATAAAATATAAAAGTGGACACTGAGGTCAACAAAGCAGTGATTCTGTTTCATGCTTGAATGCAATTTTTAGGTCATTTCTGTTTTGGTTTGACTATTTATACATGCTAGTCAATGGTGCATTATGGGTATGTGTGTTTTTATGGGCATTGCATTCAAACATGTAACGTATTGTCACCTCAATGCCGACTTATATTTACATACACTCACTTTCTAAAATTAGCACTTTTATTCATAAATATAGCAAACCTTAAAACTCTCTCTCTCTCTCTATATATATATATATATATATATTTCAGAGTATATCAGTAAAAGGGCAATATGAATAAAAAGAAAACTTATCTTAGTTGACAAGTTTTGTCCTCTGAGTGACTTTCTCAAGGCAAAGGTAAGGATTTTATTTTGTGACAAGTATTTATAGAGAAAAAAAATGTTATTGGCTTTTCAAAAGTTTTAGGTATTAAAACACTCATGAATATTCATCAGATTAACAGAGGAAAAGTCAGGCAAGTTTATGGTGGCCATGAGGTGTTATGATTCAATGTTTAATAAAAAAGATAAAAAAAAAAAAAAAAAAAATGAAAAACAACACATAACCTTTGAACTTTACTAAAATTTTCTTTTTATTTGTTACTTGATAATTTTTTTTGTAATTTTTCTTTAAATTTTTCTTTTTTAACAAAAAAGTTTGAATTTTCAGAAATTAAAAGAAAAAATTTTAATTTGTCCAAAATAATTTTGAGAAATCAAAATTTTTTACAATTCTTTTACAAAAAAAAAAAAAAAAAAAAAAAAATTGAGAAAAAATAATCAAAAAATGTGAAAGAAAATGAGGAAAAAATTTGAATTTATTTGAGAAAAAATATTTTCAAACAACTGAAGCATAGTAAATTTTTTTTCTTTTTAAAAGTTTTGGAGTGAATTAATCATTTCATAAATATAGAACAAAATTTACAACTTTTAAATATTTGGGTCTGAATTTGAATTTTGGTTGTTGTTGTTGGGAATTCTGAGATCAAATAAACTCAGACGAGCATCCTCTTTTTAGTTATTTTGATCATAGCCTGTGTTGATGGCTTCTTCGGCCCGTTTACAATTCTACCAACTTTTTTTTTTAATAACTTTAACTGTTATCTACAAACATAAAATTTTAAAAATCATACTATAAAAACAGATCTGATGTTATATTTCATGTGTAATTAAAAAATTATTACATTATCATCATCATTCTATATCTCGACAATATTTAAGAAAAGATTCATCTGTTTTCAAGGATTTGCAAATTAGTTTACAAACTGTCACCTTTTTAAATCTAGTTTTATGATGGTTGCTATTGTGAATTGCAATATTGCCTATCATTTCAAATCAAAACCCCACAAAATAAAAGAAAAAAAGTACCTAAAACAGCATTTCAGCAGGTCATTCTAGTGTTTAGATTGGCAAAGAAGTCAGTTTCTCTGAATGTTTCAATCTATGACCACAAAAAAAAAAAAAAAAAAAAAATCAAAAATAATATTTGAAGTTCACACATTTAAAATATGATTTTTTTTTATCATGTCAGAAATACTAAAAAAAAAAAAAAAAAAAAAGTCAATAGAGGTGCCCCAACAACCCACCAAATCAAATAATCTGATCCAGTTGATAAGGATTTTTTGTTTCTGGATCTTAAGACATCAAGAATGGATAAAAAAAAAAAATTTCTATGCCACCATTATTCTCAGGAATTCTTGTCTGACAAAAATCATGATAGAGAAATTTTTAAAAGCTCTTAACAAGAATAAAAAGAGAGAAGAAAAAAAAAGTCATTTCATCAAAATGCCTTCTTTAAAAACTTGACAGCATTATTCATTTGAGACTGTAACTAACACATGTTTAGAAAGATTTGGTTTTTTTTTTTTTTTTTTTACCAAAACAAAAAGGTAAATTTATTCTTCCTTATTGAAGAAATTTTGGTCTAACCTTTAAGCACTTCTGAAAAACAGATTTTTGGGGTTTTCTTTGTTTACTGAAGAGTACCACACTAATGTAATTCCCTTGTCTCTTAGCGACCAAAGGTAATAATCTAAGCCTATTGTCTTTTCTACTGTCAGGTGTTTTATTTTTTGAACATTTCTGTCTTTCACACATGAAAATAGACAATTATGGAAAAGAAAAGATTTAAGATTCAGATTTCATAGTTAATGGATATTTCTTCATTTAGAATTTGTCTTTGTATATGTCAAAATGTGGTGATAAATATGTTGACAAAAATGAGGACAATAGTCTGAATAATGTAAACAGTGTACATAATACCTCATCTCAGAAATATAGACAGATACTAAAACCCAGAGGTAAGTAAAATTTTTGTTTAAAAAAACTATTATCATACAAATTATCTAAGGAACAAAACCTCACAAAATCAAACTCTCCCCCACCGGTCAACAAAATCATAAAAACTTGACATCTTTCAACTCTACCGTATATACTCGTGAATATGCAGACTTCATGTATAGTGTGACCAGTTTTTTTTTGTGTGTGTGAAAAACCTGTTTTTTTTTCATATAGCTCATGTATAATGTACAATCAATGGACACCTGATGATGACCAGAGGGTATTTGGTCAAAACATTGTATTGATAATAACATCAATATCAACCAATGATGAGAAAAATAGTTTGAAATAATACAAGAATATGGAAAATTACTTAGAAATTAGAGATGAAATACTAAATTATGAAAAAGTGATATGAATCTGTCATCATAACCAAATGTCAAAATACCATCTGACATTGAATATAAAAGCCCTAAAAACACTAATGTCATTCAGGATGATGGTGTAGCGGATATAAGAGTTAGTTATACATGTGTTACTGTCATCTAGTGGTCATGGGTTCAATCCTTGGCTCTGGTAGTGATGCACTAATTCAACAGGTTGATATAGATGTTATTATAAACAATGTTTCGACCAAGTACTCTCTGGTCATCATCAGGTGATATGGGATATCTGTTGATTATAGTGATATTTTGTCTTTGTGATGTCAGTTATTGTCTGTTCCTGTTGAATTGTTGCATCACTAACAGATCCAAGGATTGAACCCATGACCACTACATGAAAGTAACCATCCCAAAGGACATTAGTGGTGTGTTTTTTGGAGTCTTTTATATTTTTCTTAGTCCAAAGCTATCCCAAAATGGTGAGAAAAACCACGTAGTGTAAAATATATATGATACAAAGATTTGGATACCGTACTTTTGTTTTCATTCATGCCCGATTTTTGACCTCTTCAAAACAAAAAATTACCAGTGCATAGTGCATCCCCGCTTATTTTTTTGCATAAAACTACTAGTAAAAACTCACGCTGTACTCAAATACATATGGTATGCACTTGGCCATTGATTCCATCAGTGGAACTCTCCAGCCTTGGAGATTGTTGGTTTCAAACTAGGAAGCCCTCTTCCTCCCAGTAATGCTGGAGTGACGACTTATTGCTGATGAGGATGAAGTCTTTCAGAATAAATGAACTCAACATTTTTAATGAAAATGAGTTCCACACGTGAAGGATCCTTACACAATATACTTTTTATATAAAGGACAACAGAGCTCAGAAAAAAAGAGAAAGAGAAAGAGAAAATTATATTTATGTGTACACAGAGAGAGAGAGAGAGAGAGAGAGAGAGAGAGAGAGAGAGAGAGAGAGAGAGAGAGAAAAACGCCATGCATACTCGTGTATAAGTCGACTTCACGTATAGCGCAACCCTTGAAGTTTTTGCATGAATTTTATTCCCTCCAGAAAAAATTTACCTGTGTATAGGGTGACCCCTATATTTTGGGTTAAAAAAAAAAAACAAAAAATATTGCATAATCTCAAGTATATATGGTAACCAGTGTCTTTTTATAATAAGAGATTCATAGGAGTTTTTATAAACAAAAATTCAACCCCCCCACCTATAGATTCTTCTATCAGCAATGTTTCAGACAGTTTCTTTTTAGAATTCTTAGGATCAAAATACCTCAACACAAAGTGGTGTATACTTCCTCTATATAGAAGATGGAGTACAAATCTATCCACATAATATTAAATTATTAGATCTCATAAATAAGCTAAACAAAAACAAAACTTCAAATTGAATTTATATAGGAAAAAAAAAAAAAAAAAATTACCTTAGCTTTTTCTTGATATTCTATTAATTTGATATGTTAAACTGAACTGACACCGGCTTAAAACTATGGAAATAATGTTTCTTATTTAAAGGTTTATATGAAAGATGTGCTGTGTATAATGTTAAGAAATAATAACTTAATCCAGATCAGTTTGTATCACCTAAACAGATCTTCAGGTTAAAACAGGCCATTTTTACCCTGAAGATCTGTTTAAGTGAAACCTAGGTAGGTTTGCCTGGCTCCTAAGGATTATTCTAGTTTATCGATCTACTTAGTGTATTGAGCACTTTACGTCCTCGTCTTTTTACTTGATTTGGAGTTATTTTTCTTTGGAATTGAAGCTTAAACATTTGACGATTTTTTTTCGCCTTGTTTTAATGTTCTTGGTTTTTTCTTTTTTTTTTTTTATTTCCTATTTTTCCTTGGGTACCGGTTTGTTCTACTGCAAGTTGAGCTATACGAGGTTTTTCAAAACGAGTACCACCATTCAATTATATATATATATATATTTATATAAAATGCTCATGAGGAGCAGCTAAGGGTTAAAAAGAAGGCATGGATCTTGGTTCCGAGGTTATCCACATACATGGAGGAGTATCACTGCGAAACTGAGTGAGTAGCAATGCTATATCAAGCCTAGGTTTGTGTCGTCTTCATCACTGAGGCCCATGGTACAGATGGTATGACGTTTGCATTGTATCGAAATGGTTCGGGTTTGATTTTCGGTAGTGGATACGCACTGCTGATAAGTCCCAAACAGGATGAAACGGCTGTCCAGTGCTTTCTGCATTCTGTCGAAGATTATTCTGGGCTCGATGAATTACACTATATATATATATATATATATATATATATATATATATATATATATATATTTTCAGATAGAATATATTTGTAAAAGGACTATAAATAAAGACAAAAGGAAAATGTATCTTAGCCAAGGCATTTCATCCTCTGAGGGAATTTATCATGTCAAAAGAAAGTCCTTCAGAAGACGAAATGTGTCACCTAGTTTTTGTTTTGTTTATATATATATATATATATATATATATATCTCTTTTAGGCTATTTAGAATTTGTTTGAGCTGTTCAGAGGTGGTTGACCTTTTTAGTGTGTTATTTATCTCCTGTTTGCGTTTGATGAGAGTTATTAAGTTATCAAGAGTTACTTCAATCTGCCTTTTCACAAGGCCACGTTTAAATTGCCAGGCGATGTTGTTCCAGATTATATAATTTAAAATTTGTGTATTTAGGCAGATTACATTACTCACTGTTTGACTGTGCTCACATCCTCTGTTTGGTCTCTGTAACCATTTAGCAAGGGTTAATGAATTTGATGACACGTTTGTTTTGTACACAGTTTCATGTTAGACACAATTTTGCTAGACTGCTATATGTAACAAATTATATATTTCTCAAATTTTTCTCAAGTTTTGCATGCATATATATGTATATATATATATATATATAGATAGATAGAAAAGCTTCTTATTGACTATATACAAATATTAGTGTAGAGTAGGACTCAGTGTACTTCTTGCTCTTCCCTACTACTGTGACAATGGACTGCTCCAACTTATAAATATGGCAAGTAGCCACATTAGAGTAGGATTTGAGGTGTACATGATTTACACAACCTTTCAGTTCTACATATGAAAATTTAATAAATGTCTTTGTTTTCCCTACTTAGTTTTCTGTTCTCTAACTACGAACTTTCTAATTCTTGGCTGTTTTGAACACAGACAACATTACCACTTATATAGAGAGTAAAAAGCGTCAGACATATACGAGTCTGACAATTATTTTAATATATTCATTATTTATATGTTATTTTTATACAAATATTTATGTAAATGCTCTCTTTATAATAAACGGCTTGAATGTCTGAGAAATTTCATAGAAAATGTGTGTGTCCTCTGACAGGAATTGAACCTGTATCCTACATGGAATTGTCATATAGCTTGATGTGTTATACTGTTAATAATCATCAATAGAAATATGTTTTTCTTGGTTACAATTTGTTTTTATTGTTGGACATTTTTAAATGAAGACAATATAAAAAAAAGTACAGCAATAAAGTAACCCCCCCCGGGGCTGTGTGTATGCTGACCCCCTAAATTAACCAGTCTTTTTGATATTAGACTCATTAACAATTGAATAAAAATTTCAGAAAATAAAAACTATTGTATAAAGTTTTTTTTAAAGGCATTTTGATGAGAACTCGAAACAAAAATGACACAAAAAAAATAAAATCAAACTTATCAGCAGCTTTGTAGGTCTTCATTGCAAGATTCAATAATACTAAGAAGAAAGGAGCATGAATATACAAATTTATGACCAGCAGAACATATCTCTCCCCACGTCCTTGTGCCACTTTCAGATCAACTTTCTTCTAAGAACCCATTTAAAAAAAAAAAGAGTCCTTTAAAGTGAGATTTTTTTTTGAGGGTCACGAACTACCAGAACAAGATTTATAAGCACAAGTAAACCTGGAAAATTTACAGAGTTTCAGAAAATTAAACACCCGTTTACTGACAATGCTTCTCTAATCTTCATTACGAAGGGGGATTTGGTATCAATAGTTACTAAGTAAAATGTAATTTGAGAAAACATTCATACTACGTTTAAGAAACGTTTCTTTCAAAAGATTTTAAAGATGTTAAATAAAAAAAAAAAAATTAAAATAAAAGTTAAATTTTATTAGTTTGAGAGACTGGCACGCCAAACACAAAACCCCGATTCTAAACAAGTTAATATGTTGCCATTATCAGTACCAGTTTCTATAATTGGGTAGATAATTACTAACCTCGGCTTGGTCTGGCACAAGGCACATATATATATAGAGCACCTATGACATTGCGTATCCCAGTTTCGTGAAGGGTGTGTCAAAACTATTTTTCTTCAAGAGGGCCAGAGATGCAATTTTAAGAAGAAAGGTTAAAGGTTAAATTAAAAAAAAAAAATCAAAAAAAAAAAAAAAATCAATTTCTCTATAGCTGATATTTATTCTTCATTTTGAAGTGTAACTATTATGTCCAGTTTGTTTCTTGGTTCTAGGCTCACAAAGTCAGCAAATTTTTTTTTTAAAGCCTAACATTAATCTTTTTAGACAAAATGTTATATTTTATTTTATTCCAGGAGGAATTCATTATCATTATTCAGGGATATTTTTTTTAATGTTCACTCAATACAAGGCCTAAGAGCCACTCACTATAGAGCGCTACTGTGTAGCATTGTATGATCATAAGAAAGGCAAGAATTGAAGTTCATGTAGGAAATATAGCGGTTAACCCTAGACTCGAAGAAGTCAAGATTGTAGTGATCGAGAAAACAACCTCTCAGGAGTCTGTTCAATAAATCAGCAATTCTTGGAAAGAAGCTGTTCAAGTGGAACTCTCTCCTTACTAATGGAATACAAAGGGAATGAGAATGATTCATCCACATGTATGTGGCATGGCGGCTCCCAGCTGCAAAGGTCAGGACTGATGGAACCAAGGAATGTAGCTCTCTAGAATAAATGCCATAGAAATAGCGATAGAGAAGCAAGAGGCTTGTGATGTTTCATTTGTGGGAAATGGGTTGTAGGCTGGAAAATATTTCATCACCCACAAGGCCGTGTAAACGTTTTTGAACTCTATCAAGACAGGCAAGTGAGGAGGGCTGGGCAACTGTAGTCCTGATATGGCAGCAATACTCCATTTTTGGTCTGATCTGGCTCTTGTAACAATAGAGTATATCTGTGGAGAGTCAGATACTTATTAGAGTGGTACAAGGAACCGACCATTTTTCTAGCGTCTTTAGCAATAGATTAGATATAAGTTCCACTTGAGGTCTTGGGAGGGCTTGAGTCCCAACAGACGTTCAAGGTAAGAATCCTCCTTGTGAAAGAGAGATCCCATCCATCAATAAATCATACGAGTTCCACTTGAGGTCTAAAGTGAGCTTGAGTCTCAACTGAAGTTCAAGATCATTTCAATTAATTTTCTCATCTTTGCTATTTTTTAACATTATGATAAAAAAACAACAAAGATAGGGATAATCATTGAAAGGATTTGTGAAATAGGATTTTTAAGATTGGGAAAATTGGTCCCCCCTTTTTTTGGTAGATTTGATATTTGAAGGTTTCATAAATACTGCACCGTCTCCCTCCTTTTCTGGTAATCAGTTAATAGGCAACTCCTTTTATGTCAGTATTTGGTCCCTTTTGGGTTGGAGAAAAGATTTCCCGGGTCTCTCCTGCAGGAGAAATGGGATTCATGGAAGGTAAATGATAACGATAGACACTATTTACATTATTTGGACTATTGTCCTCATTGTCGCTATATTTATTACAACGTTTCAGTTGTATGCTCTGGCCTTCTTCAGATGGTTGGAATATTGAACTGAACCCTTCACTCACTGGGATAGACTGTTCTAGTTCCATGTGCCATGTTTAATTGATGTCAGTTATCAGTTATCCTGTTAATTCCCCTCTCCAAGTTCTCCACTGCCTTAATTGGGTATTGAACTCACACTCTTTGGGTCCTGTCACATGGCACAGTGGATAAAGGCATTAGTTAGA